ATGATATTTGATGTATTTCTCACTTGCTATGATATTGCAAGGCTATAAAATAATAAATCAGGACTTCGTTGATAAAAAGATATAAAAATAGAAAAGGAATACTATGGTTAACTAAGTGGTCTCAGGTCCTACCACAACAAATAGGAGGGGCCCGCTTGGCTCAGTGGTAAGGCGTCTGTCTCGTAAACAGAAGATCGGCGGTTCGATTCCGCCAGTGGGCAATCCTTTTGCCGTCATTCTTATTTGAATGACGGGCTAAAATATGTAGAAGCAAAGCCTCTCTGAATTGGTGAAGCCTAAATATATAAAAGCGGTATTTTACCTTCCAAATTAATGAACTCCAACCAAGAGCCGATTTTTGTTTCTGGCAATGGGGGATGGGTTGCTATGGTCGAATTTTGACGAATATTGAACGGAAGGGTAAAGTTTTCCGGATTGTAGCTCGACCCCTGAACTTACACAACACGCGGTATTCCACTAAGGTACCAAGGGTTGGCGGGAATTGGGCATGGAGACAATTTGAGGAGCTTTACCACATTGTTCCAACATGTATTATGGACAGTATAAGGTAGACCCTTCTGGCTCGTTTGGAAGCCAGGTGCAACCATAGTAATCAGTTCACACTGACCAGGATGCTACTACCCCTTGATCATGCTCCAACCAAACCCGTACACTATGCCCTCCCCCTACCTAAATAAACCTATAGGGTCTACCGTTTCCCTCAGTTTTTGTAAATTGCACGAATGAGCTCAACCCCGTTGTCTATATTTCGTTAGGCAAATATTAACGCTATTTATCCCCTAGTGCTTCCTTTTGTGTAGGTATAATTTGTTTACATAATTATTTAAGTTATTGCTTGTATAGTTTTTATCCTTAGCTGCAGCCGGCTTGACCCACCCCATGGCCCCCCGTTCCTATCCTCCCCATGCCACCCCTCTCACTGAACTTCGCCAGCTCCGCGCTTTCGCGGCCGCGTCCCAGTTTTTACACATCTTCCATGAAGCCTTCGACCAACCCGATTTCGACACGGAACGATTCGAGACCGACCTGGTGGCTTCGTCCGATGCCGACCGGCCTTATTTACGCGATCTGCTGATCAAAATGCTACGGGTGCTCACCCTGAATCGGATGATTAACGACCTGACCTGGCCCCATTATTTGGCCCGCCAGTACATAAAGCGGGGCATGTCCCCGTGGCATTTGTATAAACCCGGCTTCGTGGGGGACCGGCGACCACCGGTCACCTCTTCTACGCCGGGCCCCAATGCCGGGGAAGCAGAGCCTTCGGCGGACGTTCAGCAGGCGGGCACCAATGCCTCCAACAGCAACAGCAGTAACAACATGCACACGTCGACTGAAGGTGACCAAGACCTGACCGGGTCCACCGATGCAATTGAGCGGAACAGTCTCCTCCCGAATCCGCCCCCCGTTTCCGGGTTATTACCCCTTGGGTTCAATGCTGAGCGCTTTCACACCTTCCACGCACTGACCATCCCGGAACGCGTCTTCACTTTCTACCATCTTAGCCAGTGGCTCATGGAAGATCCGGAACGCTTAAGGCGTAAAATGAAGCATGATCAAGAGGAGGATTGCCTACACTGGCGGGTTCTGCCCCTTGGGTTTGACAGTCAAGGGCGGACGTATTGGTTATTCGACGATAACCGGCTCTACCGGGAACACCAACCCCCAGTAGTCTCAGCAGCGATCACTCCGTCTTCCAAATCCAAAGCAAGTAGAAGGAAGCCGCAACGCGCTCGTCGGGTGACCGAATCCGCCGGGATCCAAAGGGAAAATACCGTAGGCGAATCGGCGATTGACAGCAAGAATTGGGTGGCCCAGGACAACCTGGTAAACGGAAGATGGGAAATGGTAGGTAGCGCGATATCGTTATATCTAGGATGCAATTGTGAATCGTGGAAAACGGAAATAGAAACTAACATTAGCTCGAATCCGAGAGACTGGTTTGGGGATATGCGAATGACGGGCGGGTTACCTATGTATATATATCTACTAATTGTTGGTTTCTGGGGATATCGATCCCTAATTTTATACAACCTATATATGTACTCTTTATACTAGATGCTATGTTCACTCGAGGACTGGGAGACGGGGGGCGCACTCATAAAAAAGCCGCGTTCGGCGGATGAGCGCTTTTTGCTGCAGCGGCTTCACGATGACATCATGCCGCAAATTGTGGGAGAACTCAAGGTAGGTTTGTGTATTCATGTAACGCCTACTTTTGAAATATACCGTAAACCAAGCGGCAAACCTTACTTGAAATGATTTCGAATGACTTATCAATATGATTCGATACAAGCTAAGATTAATGTATTTTCTAAGGATGTTATGTATTATAAACTATACGCGCCTTGGACCCTCTCTCTTTTCGCTCTTTTCAGGCTAAAGAAAAGAGAAAAGCTACGGAAGACGCTCTGCGACAACGTAAACGATCCTCACGAATCCAGATCAAACAGTTCAGGCAGATGGACGAGCGGGAAAAGAACCATCCGGAACCCGACGCACTGCCACCTAGACAACCTTCCCCCGAAATAAATCGGCCATCTCATGCAGATATGGTAAGCTTCATGTTTCGCATCCAGCTATTGATTGAATCAATTCCAATATCTATTCTGCCGTGCTCCGGCTTTTGGTCTTATATTTCCCCATGGGATCTAACCCATATCATTGTTATTGTTAACATCATCGTTCAATGGGCCGGACTTTCACTAGCAAAAATGCTCTCGTGAACAACGTTTCCTAGAACGACAGAACCGCCTGCTTAACCCCACCAGTCCACGAACCCATGCGCCCGCCTCGACGCTTACCACCGGTTCTATTGAGAATGGAGGCCAGTCGAAGAGCGCTCCCACAATTGAGCCCTCAACAACGGCCCTACTCAACGGCACCCGCCAGCCGCTGAATGGCCAATTACATAACCAACGGCATGCACCGCTAACGGCTACCGGAGGTACTACTGCTACACCATCACCGTCGCCATCACCATCGCGGATTGATAAACGTGGACGCAAACCAGGCCGTAAACCCAAATCGGCCGGTCGGAGTGCTTCTGAGATCATACAAGATGAAGAAGAAGAAGACGACTGGGTTTTCCATTGTATTTGTGGGGTTTCGGGGCCAAATTTGGTAAGTAAACCAACTATGTGTACGACTCGGTTACCTATACATGGGAATAGTTTCACGTGACTGGGCACTGAATACAGCTGCCATAATTACATACGCCTTTATATTCAATGACGGCCACCTCTAATCATACTCGCTCTATTTGTATTCCCTGTTCTGGGGGGCGGGCTGCTGCCGCCTATATCTTCAACTCGGGTTTAATGGATTTCTAGAATGACGGACGACCTATGGTGGCCTGCGAAAAGTGTAATATTTGGCACCACATCCACTGTATCGATGCAGCTGATCGGCGGGCCGGTCGGGCTAAACGGGAATGGAAAACATCCGAGTTTATATGTCCCCAGTGCGGTCAGGCGGCTGCAATTTCTTCCCCTTTAGATCCGCATGGCCAATTGCAAACGAATTTACCCCCAGTCAACACTGAATAACCACCACTCGCTGGCTCAAATCGTGTATTTCCGGCATTAATATAACGGATGATTTCAAACTCCGGCCAATTCATGGGGTTTTCCATTACATTTGTTTTATTATATCTTATGTTTGGTTGAAGTTGCTATTGCTGTTTCCATCTTGACTGCTTTTGATTGATTAAAACATGTCCCACTTAATTTCCCTATACCGTTCCATACCTTGTTAATAGTGACGATTATATACTTCTTGTTAATAAAGTGACCCCTCTTTTAGTGCGCGTCGACGGAGACAGGTTTATTAATGAATAATAGAGAATGTGATTGTAGATGATGGACCTGTGAGGCGAACCATATAGTTCCGATGGGGGAAGGGAATGTTTCGTCATGACTGTGGTGGTCACTGTCGATCCTCTCCGTCCCTTCGTGTACCTCGTGCCCTTGGCCCAACAGCAACCCCTCTCTGCGAGGGCGAGAATTGGGGAAGTCACAATACACACCCTCGCATACACACGCTACTCACTCGCACCATTCGAGTATGCTGCCTTGACTGTACAGGGAAGTAGCGGAAGGGACTGCCCATATCCATACCACCAGTCTCCATAGAGTGATGATGATAGCCGCGATGACCACTTCTTGGGGGCGGCCTCTCTCTCCTTTAATTGCCCACTATACGAACCCTCCGCCCCCCTCCCTTTTCTCAGTACTCTTATCCTGAAGTTCACCCTGAACAACTTTACCTTAAACCCTATACTTTTCTTACCCCACATAACCCCTTGTACTTCTTCACCCACTGAATTGTCCCTTGGAAACAACCCTGCACCCTCTTTCTATTGGTATACCATTGCCCCCTCCACCCGCGATGCTGACCCATCTCCGCTGTGGCTCGGGACTGCCCTCCCGTTTCGCCCGCCGAGCCGCCATCCCCCTGACCCAGACCCGGCCTTCGGCTTCTTCAGTACCCCCCCACCGTCTCCTCCTCACGCCACTGCAAACTGCCTCGGCCGATGGCCACTTGCTCCACTGTGTTCTCCGGCCCATTTCGGCCACCCAACGTTCCTTCACTACCTCCGGTTACCGGCCTAAAGCCCCCAAGGCCGCCACTACCCCCCGGCTCAACGTTATCGGTATTCGTCGGGAGGATAAGAACCTGTGGGAACGCCGGGTAGCGCTCATCCCCGATGACATTGAGAAGCTGATTGCCGAGACAGGAGTCAAGGTCATTGTACAGCCCTCGAACAATCGCATTTACCCCGACGCGCTATTCGAAAAGGTAAGCAAAGGAAAAGGGGTTAGTTGAGTTCAGCTAGATATGTGCGGTCCACCCGTACCCTTAAGTCATTGATACTAAAATTGGCCTTGTATTGTATTGCGATGGTGGGTTGGAAAAGCAGTCACGTACCCACCCATGTGACCGCTATTTTACCTCGAGTTTATTCAGGGAATAATACCTACTATATGCTACCCTAACCGAAAGTCAGGTTTTACTAACCGGCCCTTCCTCTTCTCGCATCCCTGATTTTCCACTACAACAAACTAGGCAGGTGCTACCGTACAAGAAGACCTCGGGCCCGCTGACGTGATTTTCGGAATTAAGGAAGTGCCACGCGATCAGCTCCTCCCCAATAAGACCTATGTAATTTTTTCGCATACGCACAAGGGCCAACCCTACA